ATTAAACTGGGGTTATAGTATAGCTACATTATGAAGACCTCTTCTACTGGTTTCTCATTAATGCTGCTGTGTGTATGCTACAGTCCCCTGTACCTCAGTTGGTAGAGCATGGCGCTTGCAACGCCAGGGTTGTGGGTTCGTTTCCCACAGGGGGGCCAGTATGAAAATGTATGCACTCACTAACTGTAAGTCGCTCTGGATAAGAGCGTCTACTAAAATGTAAAATGTAACAGTGGATGTTGGGATGCTGTTCAATAAACTACTGTGTATTGGCTCGCTGGTGAATCTTGCTTGGTTTGCTTGCATTGAGGCATCTTCGATTTATCTGGAGCATGAGCTCTCGTCTTCCTACAACATCTTCAACCACACTAACAACAAGGGTATTTTGATAATATAGTGGCTATGCCATTACACTTATTGAATTGGGATTCCAAGTTAATATAAAATGGTGCTAGTTATCATAATAAACCTCCACACTTCACTTGCACAATTAACATTCCAATGATGTATTAGTGTAGGTTTTAGCCAACAATTTATGTCAGAACATTTAGATAGGAATCAACAGGGGGGCAGTTAGTTAGGATTTTAAAATGACTGAAGCACGTTATACACCCCCCCCCCCCCCCCCTAACTATTTGTCAATTAGTCTATTACCCAAGCTAATTCCCTGACAGAACCCAGGTGTCTTCCTAATGTTGTATGAGTTGTTTGGGAGAGAGAGAGAGAGAGAGAGAGAGAGAGAGAGAGAGAGAGAGAGGAGAGAGAGAGAGAGAGGAGGAGAGAGAGAGAGAGAGAGGAGAGAGAGAGAGAGAGAGAGAGAGGAGAAGAGAGAGAGAGGAGAGAGAGAGAGAGAGAGATGGAGAGAGAGAGAGAGATGGAGAGAGAGAGAGAGAGAGAGAGTGAGAGAGAGAGAAAGAGACAGCGACAGAGACAGAGAGACAGAGACAGAGGACAGGAGACAGAGACAGAGACAGAGACAGAGACAGAGACAGAGAGAGGATGAGCGGTAGAAGCTGTAAGTGACAGAAACAAATGGAGCTGGAGGCACTGAGTCTGAGCTATGGGAATATGTGTGTCGGAACAAGAATTCATTACACTCATTTGCGATAACAAGTGCTTGTGATTTTAATTGACTTAATCAACAAATATAATTAATCTGAGATTTGTAATTAATGGTAATTGATTGAATATCCACTGCGTCACTGTCAAAGTTAAATCCCCATTTCTGGTACTTTCTACTGGAGGGCATCTAGTTTATCCTTGGCGTCTCCATGTTGTCCACATCTATTAAAAACGGACAGATTGAGGAAATAAAGCAGAGAAGGAGGAGTGTTGATCCGTTACAGAACAACAAACAACATTCTGTGACATACACTCTGAGCAAAACGACAAGAGAACACAATGTCTCCGCTAGTCTGGCTGTAACATGTTGCTATTTTGAGGTCTCTTTCATTTTTATAATGTCATATCATGGAGTAGTACTTCTCTCTGACACTTCAAGTGGATTGCATTTGGGAAAATGTAACCAAAATCTTGCCCTTTCCTGGTTTTACTGTATGGAAAGAGGATGCATCGAGACAGAGACCTAGGTCTCCATTTCACTGTGCTGTTATTTGCCTGGAATTACTGGAATTACTGTACCAGCTCTCCCACATGAAAAAATGATTTGTATTGTAGTATTCACGGTAATGTTTTTGCGAATTTAGTATACTGTAGTATGAACTGTAGTGTTTTTGCAGACGTTACTGTATTATTTACAATGAATAATACCGTGAATAATGTAGTCTTTACTGTAGTATACTGTAATATTTACAGTTAACTATAGTATCAGTACTGTAGTCAAATAAAACTGTAGTATATACTATAGTAATGAATGTTGTGTTTTTGTGGATTGTAGTATACTGCAGCATTTACTGTAGTGTTTTTGCGGACTGTAGTATACAGTAGTATTTATTGTAGTGTTTTTGCAGACGTTACTGTAATATTTACTATAGTGTTTTTGTTTTATTGTCTTTGACATAGAAGTGGAGGCTTTCTCCTTCAGGAAACCTACTGGATAAATACTAAAAGAGCACATTTTCTATAACATGTAGGTAGGTAGGACTGGGGTCTGAACGGATAGTTCAGAGCTTCTGCTCTTTTCTATAAACTGTAGGGAACACAATATATGGTCTCTACTTCGTATATATGTTTGTCATTTATGGGTGGCACAAATTGTGATATGGGGGAGGGGAATGGGCAGGGTATATGCAAATTAAATACTGTAGTATTTACTGTAGTTAAAAAAGTGTCGTGTTTTTGCATACTGTAGTGTTTTTGTGGATAATACTGTAGTATTTAGAGTGTATTGTATTTTACAGTATACTACAGTTTACTATAGAATTCTATAGTAAGTACTGTAGTATTCTATAGCAAACTGTAGTATTATTTAATGTGGGCTGATAGGAATGAAAATTTGCAGATTAATACAGTCGTGGTCAAAAGTTTTGAGAATGACACAAGTGTTGGTCTTCACAAAGTTTGCTGCTTCAGTGTTTTTAGATATTTTTGTCAGATGTTACTATGGTATGCTGAAGTATAATTACAAGCATTCCATAAGTGTCAAAGGCTTTTATTGACAATTACATTAAGTTTATGCAAAGAGTCAATATTTGCAGTGTTGACCCTTCTTTTTCAAGACCTCTGCAATCCGCCCTGGCATGCTGTCAATTAACTTCTGGGCCACATCCTGACTGATGACAGCCCATTCTTGTATAATCAATGCTTGGAGTTTGTCAGAATTTGTGGCTTTTTGTTTGTCCACCCGCCTCTTGAGGATTGACCACAAGTTCTCAATGGGATTAAGGTCTAGGGAGTTTCCTGGCCATGGACCCAATATTTCTATGTTTTGTTCCCCGAGCCACTTAGTTATCACTTTTGCCTTATGGCAAGGTGCTCCATCATGCTGAAAAAGGCATTGTTCGTCACCAAACTGTTCTTGGATGGTTGGGAGAAATTGCTCTCGGAGGATGTGTTGGTACCATTTTTTATTCATGGCTGTGTTCTTAGGCAAAATTGTGACTGAGCCCACTCCCTTGGCTGAGAAGCAACCCCACACATGAATGGTCTCAGGATGCTTTACTGTTGGCATGACACAGGACTGATGGTAGCGCTCACCTTGTCTTCTCCGGACAAGCTTTTTTCCGGATGCCCCAAACATTCGGAAAGGGGATTCATCAGAGAAAATGACTTTACCCCAGTCCTCAGCAGTCCAATCCCTGTACCTTTTGCAGAATATCAGTTTGTCCCTGATGTTTTTCCTGGAGAGAAGTGGTTTCCTCGCTGCCCTTCTTGACACCAGGCCATCCTCCAAAAGTCTTCGCCTCACTGTGCGTGCAGATGCACTCACACCTGCCTGCTGCCATTCCTGAGCAACCTCTGCACTGGTGGTGCCCCGATTCCGCAGCTGAATCAACTTAAGGAGATTGTCCTGGCGCTTGCTGGACTTTCTTGGGCGCCCTGACACCTTCTTCACAACAATTGAACCTCTCTCCTTGAAGTTCTTGATGACCTGATAAATGGTTGATTTAGGTGCAATCTTACTAGCAGCAATATCCTTGCCTGTGAAGCACTTTTTGTGCAAAGCAATGATGACGGCACGTGTTTCCTTGCAGGTAACCATGGTTAACAGAGGAAGAACAATGATTTCAAGCACCACCCTCCTTTTAAAGCTTCCAGTCTGTTATTCTAACTCAATCAGCATGACAGAGTGATCTCCTGCCTTGTCCTCGTCAACACTCTCACCTGTGTTAACGAGAGAATCACTGACATGATGTCAGCTGGTCCTTTTGTGGCAGGGCTGAAATGCAGTGGAAATGTTTTTGGGGGATTAAGTTCATTTTCATGGCAAAGAGGGACTTTGCAATTAATTGCAATTCATCTGATCACTCTTCATATCATTCTGGAGTATATGCAAATTGCCATCATAAAAACTGAGGAAGCAGACTTCGTGAAAATTAATATTTGTGTCATTCTCACTGTATACAGTAGTAACACAAGATGGATTCAGATTCCCCTGTATATAGCCTCGTTATTGTTATTTTATTGTGTTACTTTTTATTTTATTTTTTACTTTAGTTTATTTAGTAAATCTTTTTTAAACTCTTTTTTCTTAAAACTGCATTGTTGGGTAAGTAATGGATTTCACGGTAAGGTCTACACCTGTTGTATTCGGCGCATGTGACAAATAGAATTTGATTTGATTTAATTTTATCAGGCCTTTGATAGAACACAGTGATAGAACACTGTGATAGAACACTGTGATAGCACACTGAGAAGGACCTGATGAGCTCTAAATACTCATCTCTAATAGGGTGCATCCCAAATGGCACCTTATTCCCTATACACAATACACTACTTTTGACCAGGGCCCTATGGGGTAGTGGACTATATAGGGAATAGGGTGTCATTTGGGAAACAACTATAGTCATTTCTTATAGTCATCTCTAACAGCCTCTAGATTGTATTACCAGACAGCTGATCCTGAGATTCCTTTATTAAAAAGCACCTGATAAATGTAGATCGATGTAGATTTTTTATTTTTTATTCCGATTTTTCAGGGGGTGCTAGAGCACCCTCAACACCCGTACTTCCCGCAGCTATGTGGGCTGGACAATTCAGTTCAGTTGAGAGATGGCTCTTTTTGGTTTGGTTAGGTTTTGTTGTCTTTTTTGTTGGGGGTTTCTGATATCAGGATAGGGACAATAGAGCAGCTTGGAGAGACGCCAGGTTCTCAGCAGCGCTGACTGGTAGCCCTTCCCGACTCTCGGCCTGAAATGGACTCATTGTATGGTTCTCTCTCTGCATACAGGGGGAAAGAAGGCCACTCCACCAGTGCTCCATGTATTTAGAAAAGCTTTTTAGCAAATATTGGCAGACTATACCCCTAGCCTCTGTGTCAATAAGGCTAAGACTCAATGGGGAGGAGAAATCAGTTTATGAAACCCAGAAATGCAGAAAGAATGAGGCCGGAGTCTGAAAATGTGAAAAGATCGATATTGCAATGCAAATGTGAAAAGCATTTAGCATGCCATGCAATCTCCATAGACAAACATTTGCAGTAAAATGGCCTTACTGAAGAGCTCAGTGACTTTCAACGTGGCACCGTCATAGGATGCCATCTTTCCATTTTTGTGCCCTGCTAGAGCTGTCCCGGTCAACTGTAAGGGTAGTTATTGTGAAGTGGAAATGTCTAGGAGCAACAACGGCTCAGACGCAAAGTGGTAGGCCACACAAGCTCACAGAATGGGACTGCCGAGTGCTGAAGCGTGTAGCGCGTTAAAATAATCTGTCCTCGGTTGCAACACCCACTACAGAGTTCCAAACTGCATCTGGAAGCACTGTCAGCACAAGAACTGTTTGTCGGGAGCTTCATGAAATAGGTTGTCATGGCCGAAAAGCCGCACACAAGCCTAAGATCATCATGCATTGACTGGAGTGGTGTAAAGCTCGCTGCCATTGGACTTTGGAGCAGTGGAAACGCATTCTCTGGAGGGATGAATCACGCTTCACCATCTGGCAGTCCGACGGACGAATGCTACTTGCCCGAATGCATAGTGCCAAGTTTGGTGGTAAAGGAATAGTAGTCTGGGGCTGTTTTTCCATGGTTTGGGCTAGGCCCCTTAGTTACAGTGAAGGGAAATCTTCACATTCTAGATGATTCTTTGCTTCCAACTTTGTGGCAACAGTTTGGGGAAAGCCCTTTCCTGTTTCAGCATGACAATGCCCCTGTGCACAAAGCGAGGTCCATACAGAAATGGTTTGTCGAGGTCGGTGTGGAAGAACTTGACTGGCCTGCACAGAGCCCGGACCTCAACCCCATCGAACACCTTTCGGATGAATTGGAACACTGACTGTGAGCCAGGCCTAATCGCCCAACATCAGTGTCCAACTTCACTAATGCTCTTGTGGCTGAATGGAAGCAAGTCCCCGCAGCAATGTTCCAACATCTAGTGGAAAGCCTTCCCAGAAGAGTGGAGACTGTTATTGCAGCAAAGGGGGGACCAACTCCATATTAATGCCCATGCTTTTGGAATGATATGTTTGACGAGCAGGTGTCCACATACTTTTGGTCATGTAGTGTATATGTGTGTATTGTTCAGTCATCTGTCTGTTGTCGAGGGGCCACTGACTCTCTAAACCCTAAAACTATGGCTGTTGTACATTGTACAGGATAACTTTATCACTGACAACAACCATCGCCCTTTGTCTCAGAACAGTCATTGCATTTTGCGATCACATTACCTGTTTAAAAAGACCAGGAAGGCCTGTAAATATATGCAAAACAGGGTGTTTAATATTTATTGGAAAATGTAAAGAAAATGTAAGGGAATGCTTTGCAGAGCGAGCAGGATTTACATAAATTGTTCTCCCAATGTTTCTGTCCTATTGCACACAGACGGAAAGTAGCTCTGGTTCTCTAGTCGCTATCATTGCTGCATATTTAAAAAGGGGGGTCTTGGCCTGGGCCACACACACACGTAGTCAGGGGAGTAGTGACGGTAATTGGGGGGGTAGTGATGGTAGTCAGGGGGGTAGTGTGGGTAGTCAAGGGGTAGTTAGAGTAGTCAAGGTAGTGCGCGAGTAGTCAGGGGGGGTAGTGAGAGTAGTCAGGGGGGTAGTGAGGGTAGTCATGGGGGTAGTGAGGGTAGTCAGGGGGGTAGTGAGGGTAGTCAGGGGGGTAGTGAGGGTAGTCAGGGGGTAGTCAGGGGGTAGTGAGGGTAGTCAGGGGGGGTAGTTAGAGTAGTCAAGGTAGTGCGAGTAGTCAGGGGGGTAGTGAGAGTAGTCAGGGGGGTAGATAGGGTAGTCAGGGGGTAGTGAGGGTGGTCGGGGGGTAGTCAGGGGGGTAGTGAGGGTAGTCAGGGGGGTAGATAGGGTAGTCGGGGGTAGTGAGGGTGGTCGGGGGGTAGTCAGGGGGTAGTAAGGGTAGTCAGGGGGGTAGTGAGGGTAGTCAGGGGGGTAGTGAGGGTAGTCAGGGGGTAGTGAGGGTAGTCAGGGGGGTAGTGAGGGTAGTCAGGGGAGTAGTGAGGGTAGTCAGGGGGGTAGTGAGGGTAGTCAGGGGGGTAGTGAGGGTAGTCAGGGGGGTAGTGAGAGTAGTCAGGGGGGTAGTGAGGGTAGTTCCTGGTCGCCCCTGAACTGTGGCTGTGGAGTGGAATGGAGGGGCCAGGGTTGTGTCTCAAATGGCACCCTATTAGTAGTCAGGGGGGTAGTCAGGGGGTAGTGAGGGTGGTCGGGGGGTAGTCAGGGGGTAGTGAGGGTAGTCAGGGGGTAGTGAGGTTCGGGGTAGTAGGTTTTGGGGTAGTGGGGTAGTCGGGGGGTAGTGAGGGTTGTCAGGGGTAGTGGGGTAGTCAGGGGGTAGTGAGGTAGTCAGGGGGTAGTCAGGGTAGTCAGGGGGTAGTGAGAGTAGTCAGGGGGTAGTGAGGGTAGTCAGGGGGTAGTGGAGTGTCAGGGGGTAGTGAGGGTAGTCAGGGGGGTAGTGAGAGTAGTCAGGGGGGTAGTGAGGGTAGTCAGGGGGGTAGTGAGGGTAGTCAGGGGGGTAGTGAGGGTAGTCAGGGGTAGTGAGGTATCAGGGGGTAGTGAGAGTAGTCAGGGGGTAGTGAGGGTAGTCAGGGGGGTAGTGAGGTAGTCAGGGGGGTAGTGAGGGTAGTCTGGATGGTAGTAGTGAGGTAGTCAGGGGGTAGTGAGGTAGTCAGGGTTGGGTAGTAGTGAGGTAGTCAGGGGGTAGTGAGGGTAGTCCATGGGCCTATGAGGGTAGTCAGGGTGGTAGTGAGGGAGCCAGGGTTGGGTATGCAGTAGTCCAGAGAGTGGGATAGTGACCGGGTATAAGGGGGTAATAGATGTCATTGGGTACCAGTGGTGTCTGGGTTATGAGAGAAGTCATGAAGGCGTATTGAAGTAAGTCAGGGTGGGTTTAAGTGAGGGTATACAGTGCTATTTGACTTGATAGTTCAATGGAGAGAGTTTGTAGAGTAGTCCATATAAGATTAAGTTGAGTTCAGAGTAGTGGGTGTCAAGGTATGAAGTAGTCTAACCTAGTGATATGGGAGTTGTAGCAGACTAGGTAGTTATTTTATATGAGTGCCTCTCCCGTATACTGTGGCTGTTGGAGTGGATGGGGGGCCAGGGTTGTGCTCAAATGGCAACCCTATTCGACCTATTTAGTGTACTAGTTTTTGACCAGGGCCCATAGGGAATAGTGTGCCATTTGGGACACAGCTTGGTTCTGGGTTGCATTAAGCCACATCTAAGAAGCAGTAGGGAAAAGAAACACTGCTTTAAAGAGAATAATAAAATGCATATTTTAAAACCCCACATTTGGATGCTTTATAGAGAGAGAAAAAATGTATGATAGCCATATTAAATTAAGTTCATTAGCAGGTTTTGGGGTGTTAAATGGTTTGACAGCTTCGTCTAACTCTTTGAACTATGAAGACTTGTACACACATACTGGTATTCATGAGTTCTTCTCCTGAGTCCTCCACTCCCCACCTAAACATGTTGCCAATTAATATGGTTACAAAGGCTACTGTAACTGGTCCTCTTAAACCCTACTGTGCACTAATGGGAAGTTGTGAGCAATGTACTTAAGGTAAAAAAATTTTTTTTTTAATGTAAAATGTAAATTGACACTCTCTCTCCTTCTTTTGCCTTTCCCCTGCCTCTGTCCCCTCTATCTCATTCCCCCCTCCACTCTCCTCCCCCTCCAGTCTCTGTGTCTGGAGGTGCGTGGGAGGCGTAAGGGCATGTCCTTGGTACTGAGGCTGTCCCAGCGGCTGCAGGAGGAGCAGGCGCAGCAGAGCAGTCCAGACTCAGAGCAACAGGCCCTGCAGCTGCTGACCGTCAACCTGGAGCGGCGCTGGGAGGCCATCATCATGCAGGTGCTGCAGTGGCAGACCCGCCTCCGGAGGGCCCTGGGGACAGATCAGGTGAGACCTCACACCCTGCATGGCACCACACGGTTCAAATACTATTAATATTGACCTGACGCAATAGGGGAAGAGGGTGGAATATGTAATATACAGTCCATTCAGAAAGTATTCAGACCCCTAGACTTTTTCCACATTTTGTTACATTATAGCCTTATTCTAAACTGGATTACATTGGGTTTTTTCTCATCAATCTACACACAATAACCCATAATGACAAAGCAAAAACAGGTTTTTATACATTTTGATGATGCTGCCACCACCATGCTTCACCGTAGGGATGGTGCCAGGTTTCCTCTTTATTTATTTATTTATTTCACCTTTATTTAACCAGGTAAGCAAGTTGAGAACAAGTTCTCATTTACAACTGCGACCTGGCCAAGATAAAGCAAAGCAGTGCGATAAAAACAACAACACAGAGTTACATATGGGGTAAAAAAACATAAAGTCAAAAAATACAACAGAAAAGATATATACAGTGTGTGCAAATGTAGCAAGTTATGGAGGTAAGGCAATAAATAGGATATAGTGCAAAATAATTACAATTAGTATTAACACTGGAATGCTAGATGTGCAAGAGATTATGTGCAAATAGAGATACTGGGATGCAAAAGAGCAAAATAAATAACAATATAGGGATGAGGTAGTTGGGTGGGCTAATTTCAGATGGGCTGTGTACAGGTGCAGTGATCGGTAAGGTGCTCTGACAACTGATGCTTAAAGTTAGTGAGGGAGATAAGAGTCTCCAGATGGCCTGGAGCCAGTGGGTTTGACGACGAACATGTAGTGAGGACCAGCCAACAAGAGCGTACAGGTCACAGTGGTGGGTAGTGTATGGGGCTTTGGAGACAAAACGGATGGCACTGTGATAGACTACATCCAATTTGCTGAGTAGAATGTTGGAGGCTATTTTGTAAATGACATCGCCAAAGTCAAGGATCGGTAGGATAGTCAGTTTTACGAGGGCATGTTTGGCAGCATGAGTGAAGGAGGCTTTGTTGCGATGGGACGTGATGCTTGGCATTCATGCCAAAGAGTTCAATCTTGGTTTCATCAGACCAGAGCATCTTGTTCCCCATGGTCTGAGAGTCCTTTAGGTGCCTCTTGGCAAACTCCAAGCGGGCTGTCATGTGCCTTTTACTGAGGAGTTGCTTCCGTCTGGGCACTCTACCATAGAGGCCTGATTGGTGGAGTGCTGCAGAGATGGTTGTCCTTCTGGAAGGTTCTCCCATCTCCACAGAGGAACTCTGGAGCTCTGTTAGAGTGACCATCAGGTTCTTGGTCACCTCCCTGACCAATGCCCTTCTCCACCGATTGCTCAGTTTGGCCGGGCAGATTCAATGCTGCAGAAATTTTTTGGTACCCTTCCCCAGATCTACGCTTCGACACAATCCTGTCTCGGAGCTCTACGGACAATTCCTTCGACCTCATAGCTTGGTTTTTGCTCTGACATGCACTGTCAACTGTGGGACCTTATATAGACAGGTGTGTGCCTTTCCAAATCATTTCCAATCAATTGAATTTACCACAAGTGGACTCCAATCAAGTTGTAGAAACATCTCAAGGATGATCAATGGAAACAGGATGCACCAGAGCTCAATTTCGAGTCTCATAGCAAAAGGTCTGAATACTAATAAGGTATTTTTGTTTTTTTATTTTATTTATAAATTTGCTAAATTTTGGTTATTGTGTTTAGATTGATGAGGAATTTTTTTATTTAATCCATTTTAGAATAAGGCTGTAGCGTAACAAAATGTGGAAAAAGGGAAGGGGTCTGAATACTTTCCGAAGGCAATGTGTATGTAACATTTACCACCACTCAGACCAGGTGACTCAGCCTGGCCCCGCATGGCAGAAATCATACAGGTCTGACTGTAAAGACACCTAGTCCAGGGATGTTTGACCACTCCTCAAGAGACCTGGGTGTCTCCTGGTTTGCTCATTTAACTTCAAAATGTAGCGCTTAGATACAGCTGGTCATGTGGATATACTCTGTACATGTATGTACTAGCAGCTAGCCAGCTATACATTCTGTTTCAGTCATAAAGGTTCAGTTTATGCCCTCTAAAGAAGCTCCCCAACTCTAGAACAAGCTATTTATGAGTGGTATTATTCCTCTCAAAATGAGCTGTCCAGGGGTAAGTTATTTAGGCCAGCGACAGAGAAGGAAATGTAGTGCACTGTAATAATAGTGATGTATACTGCACGGAAAGTGGCTGTGGTACATTTGGATATACAGTGGGGAGAACAAGTATTTGATACACTGCCGATTTTGCAGGTTTTCCTACTTACAAAGCATGTAGAGGTCTGTAATTTGTATCATAGGTAAACTTCAACTGTGAGAGACGGAATCTAAAACAAAAATCCAGATAATCACATTGTATGATTTTTAAGTAATTAATTTGCATTTTATTGCATGACATAAGTATTTGATACATCAGAAAAGCAGAAATTAATATTTGGTACAGAAACCTTTGTTTGCAATTACAGAGATCATATGTTTCCTGTAGGTCTTGACCAGGTTTGCACACACTGCATCAGGGATTTTGGCCCACTCCTCCATACAGACCTTCTCCAGATCCTTCAGGTTTCGGGGCTGTTGCTGGGCAATACGGACTTTCAGCTCCCTCCAAAGATTTTCTATTGGGTTCAGGTCTGGAGACTGGCTAGGCCACTCCAGGACCTTGAGATGCTTCTTACGGAGCCACTCCTTAGTTTCCCTGGCTGTGTGTTTCGGGTCGTTGTCATGCTGGAAGACCCAGCCACGACCCATCTTCAATGCTCTTACTGAGGGAAGGAGGTTGTTGGCCAAGATCTCGCGATACATGGCCCCATCCATCCTCCCCTCAATACGGTGCAGTCGTCCTGTCCCCTTTGCAGAAAAGCATCCCCAAAGAATGATGTTTCCACCTCCATGCTTCACGGTTGGGATGGTGTTCTTGGGGTTGTACTCATCCTTCTTCTTCCTCCAAACACGGCGAGTGGAGTTTAGACCAAAAAGCTTTATTTTTGTCTCATCAGACATTTTAAAAAAAAAAAACATTTTTAGTCATTTAGCAGACGCTCTTATCCAGAGCGACTTACAGTTAGTGAATACATATTATTATTTTTTTATCCTGCCCCCCCGTGGGAATCGAACCCACAACCCTGGCGTTGCAAACGCCATGCTCTATCAACTGAGCTACATCCCTGCCGGCCATTCCCTCCCCTACCCTGGACGACGCTGGGCCAATTGTGCGCCGCCCATGAGTCTCCCGGTCGCGGCCGGCTGCGACAGAGCCTGGACCACATTACCTTCTCCCATTCCTCCTCTGGATCATCCAGATGGTCATTGGCAAACTTCAGATGGGCCTGGACATGCGCTGGCTTGAGCAGGGGGACCTTGCGTGCGCTGCAGGATTTTAATCCATGACGGCGTAGTGTGTTACTAATGGTTTTCTTTGAGACTGTGGTCCCAGCTCTCTTCAGGTCATTGACCAGGTCCTGCCGTGTAGTTCTGGGCTGATCCCTCACCTTCCTCATGATCATTGATGCCCCACGAGGTGAGATCTTGCATGGAGCCCCAGACCGAGGGTGATTGACCGTCATCTTGAACTTCTTCCATTTTCTAATAATTGTGCCAACAGTTGTTGCCTTCTCACCAAGCTGCTTGCCTATTGTCCTGTAGCCCATCCCAGCCTTGTGCAGGTCTACAATTTTATCCCTGATGTCCTTACACAGCTCTCTGGTCTTGGCCATTGTGGAGAGGTTGGAGTCTGTTTGATTGAGTGTGTGGACAGGTGTCTTTTATACAGGTAACGAGTTCAAACAGGTGCAGTTAATACAGGTAATGAGTGGAGAACAGGAGAGCTTCTTAAAGAAAAACTAACAGGTGTGTGAGAGCCGGAATTCTTACTGGTTGGTAGGTGATCAAATACTTATGTCATGCAATAAAATGCAAATTAATTTCTTAAAAATCATACAATGTGATTTTCTGGATTTTTGTTTTAGATTCCGTCTCTCACCTGCAAAATCGGCAGTATATCAAATACTTGTTCTCCCCACTGTATGGGCTAGACGTCCCAAATGGTACCCTATTCCCTATATAGTACGCTACTTTTCACCAGAGCCCAGAGGGTAGTGCTTTATATATGGAATAAGGTGCAATTTGGTACGCGGCCTTGCATATGTATACATATGCATATGTATATTTTGTATACATCTGGCCCTTCATTGGACACTGTGTTAACAAACCTCCAAACGAGCTTCAACGCCATACAACACTCCTTCCGTAGCCTCCAACTGCTCTTAAACACTAGTAAAACTAAATGCATGCTCTTCAACCGAACGCTGCTTGCACCCGCCCATCCGACTAGAATCACTACTCTCGGCGGGTCTGACCTAGAGTATGTGGACAACTATAAATACCTAGTTGTCTGGTTAGACTGTAAACTCTCCTTCCAGACTCACATTAAGCATCTCCAATCAAATGTTAGATCTAGAATCGGCTTCCTATTTCGCAACAAAGCCTCCTTCAAACATGCCCTCGTAAAACTGACTATCCGACCGATCCTTGACTTTGGCGATGTCATTTCCAAAATAGCCTCCAACACAAATTGGATGTAGTCTATCACAGTGCCATCCGTTTTGTCACCAAAGCCCCATATACTACCCACCATTGTGACCTGTATGCTCTTGTTGGCTGGCCCCCACTACATATTTGTCGCCAAACCCACTGGCTCCAGGTCATCTATAAATCACTGCTAGGCAAATCCCCGTCTTATCTTAGCTCACTGGTCACCATAGCAACACCCACCCGTAGTCTGCGCTCCAGCAGGTATATCTCACTGGTCATCCCCAAAGCCAACACCGCCATTCCTTCCAGTTCTCTGCTGCCAATGACTGGAACAAACTGCAAAAATCTCTGAAGCTGGAGACTCTTATCTCCCTCACTAATTTTAAGCGTCAGTTGTCAGAGCAGCTTACCGATCACAGCACCTGTACACAGCCATTCTGAAATTAGGCCACCCAACTACCTCATCCCCATATTGTTATTTATTTTGCTAATTTGCACCCCAGTATCTCTATTTGCACATCACCTTTTGCATATCTATCATTCCAGTGTTAATACGAAATTGTAACTATTTTGCACTATGGCCTATTTATTGCCTTACCTCCATAACTTACTACATTCGCACACACTGTATATATATTTTCTGTTGTATTTTTGTCTTTATGTTTTGTTTACCCCATATGTAACTCTGTGTTGTTGTTTTTATCGCACTGCTTTGCTTTATCTTGGCCAGGTCGCAGTTGTAAATGAGAACTTGTTCTCAACTTGCTTACCTGGTTAAATAAAGGTGAAAAAAATTATTGACAACATTATATACACCCAGCCGAGAATACAGAGAGCTCGTCCAAAATGGCACCCTGTTCCCCATTGGCCCTGGTCAAAAGTAGTGCACTATGTAGGTCAGCGTTCCCCAACTCGGTCCTGGGGACCCCAAGGGGTGCACGTTTTGTTTTTTGCCCTAGCCCTACACAGCTGATTCAAATAATAAAAGCTTAATGATGAGTTGATTATTTGAATCACCTGTGTAGGGCTAGGGCAAAATCCAAGACATGCACCCCTTGGGGTACCCAGGACCGAGTGTGGGAAAGGCTGCACTATATAAGTGCACTACTTTTGACCAGGGTCTATTGGCAAAACTAGAGCACTATATAGGAAATGGGTGACAATTTAGTACGCAGGCAGTGTGATGTCTGGCAACTTCAGACTGTTCTACAATATACATAACCCCCCTTTTTCTCATGAATGTGTAATGGCACGAGGCTCAGCTCCAAATAGTGCAAATAGAGTTGTCACTCTGTAAAGTACCTCTGTTTCCTTCAGTCTGTTTGTGTAATGTGGAGAACAGATGGAATCACCATTAAATCTGTAGTGAAATCCCCACCACCACCACCACACATCCCTTATGTAGATCAGATGGACATATTCACCCATAGTTCATAGTCTCTCTCTCTCTCTCTCTGTCCTCTTGTCTGCATTCCTGGGGGGACAGCAACGTGCTACTGTGCACGTGGGGAAGAGAGAAAGCCAGGCAGGGTTTGGCTGGTTGTCTACTGTGTTATATCCATTCCAGTACTGCAGGGAGAGAGAAGACAAATAGCAAAGGCCACTAGGACTCTGACCTTGCAGGCTGAAGTCCAATTTTACATGGAGGATGTGTCCTGAATAGGGGGGAAACATATTCGGTTTGTTTGTAAATGAAACACTGTGCTGAATGATAAAAGGAGTGTGGTCACTACTGCGCTAGTCCCTTCTCTAGATGTCCCACCGCCTTTTCTAGCATTTATGAAAATGAGAATTTTTTTCAATTTGGGTATTTTGAGAGTGTTTACCTTTTACCATTCCATGTGCCGGCCGAGGAGGTGGATGGAAAACATGATGTTTAAAGGCAATTATTCTGCTGTCAGGAAGTGGATTTCTGGGTTCTTGTCTTTGTCTTATTAGTTGGCTATCAGGTGAAGTGCTTGATAAGACTGGCTAGCTACTGCTCCTTGTGTTGTGACCATTTGGTTATATACTATAGGTGAAAGCTTTAGTTCAGATATCTAGGGTGAGTTTCCCAAAACCTTCTTAGCACTAAAAACATCTTAAAGGGGCAATCTGCAGTTCAAACATCAACAAAGCAGCCATTCTGCCATTGTTTTGGTAAACAGCTGAGGGTGGACGAACAATGGTCGTAGTGGAAACTCACCCCTGGTTAGTTAGTTAGATAGGTGCTTGGTGCATCATTTAGTCCAGTGTTAGCTAGGTCAGCTGAGGCTGATTGATTCACAGATGAAGGTTTTATCCTGCATTAGCAACCCCAGCTTATAGTCATTAGGATTTCCTTTATCAGCAAGAAGAGAATAAACAGAAATCTAATAGAAATTCATTACAGAGGGTGTGCCACATAGCAAGTGCTAGATTTACCACTTTATTCGATTAATGAGATAAAAATGGCTAATATAAATAGGCCCTCTCTCTTATATTAATGAGATGCCAAGCAATTTGTATAATTGTGTCCTCCTTAGCAAAATGTCTGTGTCTAAGCACATTTTAAGACGATGCAGTCTTTAGAGAATCGTGCTATGCAATGCTTTGCTTTCTCCCCAAAATTGAAAGGATTAACCTTGTATCCCAAAAAAATGGAACAGCTCTTTATTTTTTAAAATTGATTTTCAACCAGTAAATTTGAGCTTCTCCCTTTTATCTCTCTGTCTCTCTGAAGGTCCCAGGGAACATCGTAGAGGCTGGTCTCATGGACCTCCACGGCCCAGCTGAGGACTCCTGGGAGTGGGATGAAATGGACATGACCATCGTGGAGCACATGGAGCCAAAGGAATTTGATGACAAACAAAACGCTGAATGTGAATCAGGTCCTGGATCCCCTGGGGCCGGTTTAAACTATGACATGTCCGAGTCGAGCCCGCGTGTCACTCAGCGAGGGATGTCCTTGAGCGAATCGTCTGGAGTGACACCTCTGTCTTCTCAGCGTCCCAATGTCTATCAGGTGTACAGCCTGCATAATGTGGAGCTTTACAGACAGCCTCACTTCCCCTCCGTACACAAGACCTCTTCTCCGGCCAAAGCCGGGAGGAAGCAGCCTCTTCTGAAGAGCCTGAGCAAAGACTCCTCCTTCTCATCTGTAGAATCCCTGCCAGGCCTCCTAGGGGGTCTGCTTGTCTGGGGAAAGCAGGGGGGACACGGCGGGGAGTCCGCCCGCAGATCAGAGAGCGAGAGCGGGATAGTCAGTGAGGGTGAGACAGAAACAACTGCCAACTCCGAGGTCTGTCTAGATGACCCACGGAGAGGAGGCAGCACCTCCCTCAGACCCCCCACAGGAGTCAACTCGCCTGGGGAAGACGACGACGAGGGGGACAGGGTGTGTGACGAGGACATTGACAGGATCCTAGAACGGGCCAACAAGGTAGCGCTGTATGGGGACAGTGTGTCTGTGACGGCGCTGAGAAAGAGAGACCAAAACAGATCCAAAGCAGGGAAGAAGAAGAGAGGAGGAGGAGAGAAGGGAGGTGGAGGAGGGGAGAACCGGAGGAGACACAGGAGAGAGTCCAACGTGGAGATTCTGATCAACGGACGTGGCCTCAGGCCTGACTCCGAGGAGGAAGATGAGAGGAGAGTGACAGGGGAGAAGGGCCGTAGAGACAGAGAGATCCCCCATCTGTCCCAAGGGTCCTCCCTGGAGTCCCTGTATGCAGCGGGGGAGCTATTTCCATCCGGCAAAGACAATCTCCAGCACTCCACGTCTCTGGAGAGCTGGCTGGCCCCGTGTAAGAGCTGGGAGGAGGCCGAAGGAGAGGGAGGCAGCCAGGGCAGCCTGAGGGAGCTGGGCCTGGGCACCGGAGCTATAGAGCCCACAGGGGAACTGAGCCACAGGACTCTGGAGCTCCTCAAACGCCTGGAGAACATCCAGACCCCGCTACACGACCTGAATATGACACGCAGCATCTCTGACATCACACTGCAGAGCAGCAGCTCCCTGCGCCACCCTGGGGTGGAGTATGGACCTGGGGGGCCTGGGCACGCTGGGCGCCTCTCAGGGGGCCGGGGTGGATCCCCCTCCTCCGTCAACAAGAGCTCGGCTGCGTCTCTGACAGAGCTGAGCAGCACAGAGGACTCGTCGGTGGGCACTGAGGACCTGGCCGTACTGAGGAACAGCTGCTGCCTGCTGGACTCCAACGCCTCCTTCAGGAAGCACCACCACCGGGCCCAGCCGGGGGATCACCACGGAGGTCATGGGGGTCACGACGAGGCGGACGCCAGCATCAGCATGGTGGTCAACGTGTCATGCACCTCGGCCTGCACTGATGACGAGGATGACAGTGACCTTCTGTCCAGCTCCACGCTGACCCTGACTGAAGAGGAGTTGGGTATCAAGGAGGATGAGGAGGATGACAGTGACCTTCTGTCCAGCTCCACGCTGACCCTGACTGAAGAGGAGTTGGGTATCAAGGAGGATGAGGAGGATGACAGTGACCTTCTGTCCAGCTCCACACTGACCCTAACTGAAGAGGAGCTGGGTATCACCTCTGAAGAGGAGTACATGGAGGGGTCCTTAGGCCTGGGCCTGGAGTACATGAAGAACGAGTTCCACAACTGGATCCACAATCCCTCCCGCTCCCAGCAGCAGTCCCAGTCCAGCTGCGGTTGGGACAAGAACCAAGGGTATGACCCTCTAGGGGACGAGCTGCAGTGTGGCACCCTATCCAAAGACCGCACCAACAGGCCGTCTGTAGGCAATGAGCGCTGCTCCTTCCTAAACCGCTCAGCGCTGAGGCTCCTGGAGTCCCACACCAACAGCAACGTGAAGAAGGAGTGTCTCAGGACGTTGCCTGACGTGGTGGACACCAACAGGAAGAACGCCACGCGGAGCTACATCAGCCAGTTTGTAGATGACATGGAGAACGGGAATGTGGACAACTCCCACATCAAAGGGAAGGATGAGGACAATGAGCTGTTACGAGAGGAGGGGAGCCTCTTCACCAAGAAAGGGGAGTGCTTCAAAGACTGTTATGTGAACGAGTCAGTGGTGAACGGAGGGGACCAGCAGAGGGGCATGGGAATGGCCACTGCCACCACGCCGTCCTTGTGTGAGACGCTGTCCCAGCTCCAGGCCAAGGAGTCCTCTCTAGAGAGCCAGCTCAGAGGGGAAATCCCCTGCCAGAGCTCCAGCCACTCCTCCCCCTCTCTCTCCCCACTGGAGGACTGCCGTGGCTCCCACCACCACCACGCCCTGCAGAGACCACCCCGCTCTGGAAACAACAGTCAGGAGAATCTCTTCTCCTCATTCCTCAGTGATGTCCACACCCAGCAGAGCATTGGAGATGCCAGCTCCAACCCCGGCCCAGACCCCAACTCAGACCACCCCTGCTGCAGCCACCTCCACCCCCAGGTGCCCCCATGCCAGGACCAAAAGAGCCAGGAGAACATGCACAACTTTGTGATGGAGATCATCGACATAGCCTCAGTGGCTCTGAAGAACAAGGAGAGCCAGGCAGAGGACAAAGAGAGACCCGGCCAGACTGGAGCCCAGATCAGGGACAAAGTCCTGGAGCAGTCCCACCGGCCCATCCACCTCCACAAGGGAGACTTTTACTCCTACCTGTCTATCAACTCCCACGACTCAGACTGTGGAGAGGTTAGCACCTATATAGACAGCAAGAGCACCACCCCCTTACTGTCGACTACCCCAGACATCAGGGACAAGGAGATGCTGTTTGAGGCTTGTACTGAGGAAGTGTACCTGGGACCTCCTCTCTGCTACAGCATGGCTGTCACCAAGAGGCCCAGGAGGCACAGTCCCAAACTAATGGACTGCTACTCCTCCTCTCCCTCTCCTGCTGCCCAAAGCCAGAGTCAGAGCCAAGCACCTCTGCCCACCTGCAATGAATACCAAAAAGCACATGGTATTTCTCCTGGAAGTATAGCTTGGAGACAGCTACAGTGCCATAATGAGGCTTCTTATCTTAATCCGTTACCATGTGAAACCCTGATAGACACTGTTGAATGTTTTGCAGATACTCAAATGCTTGAATCCAATATTTCCCCTGTAATGACTAAGATAAGGGTCTCTTGCTCCAGTACAAATCCTTTAAAAGAGGAAGGCAGCCTCTGTATTAATCCTAAAATTAACTGTCCCCCGATAAGAAACTGTGATAGGGATGAAAAAGGGCCTACTTCACAGTGGATGAAACATAATAATGTCAGGAAAAGCAACAGCTCTCTTCAGGAAGTCAAGTCAATTCATAAACAGAAGCAGGTGAGTTAGACATTACACCCTTTTTACACCCACCCTCCAATCTCCACGTAATGGGACTGGTGCGCATTTCAGCCTGTTATGTATTCATATCTGTGACTAAATATTGAGGAGGTCTTTTTATTCACTCCTTCATTCATCCCCCCCCTCCCTCCTCCTCCTCCTCTTCTTCCCTGAAGTGTCGATGGAAGAGGGATTTGCTTAGCATCTTCCGATTTAGAATGTTAAGGTCTACGGAACAGAATAATCATAATCAATCAGATTATATTATGATTCATAAGCAAGAATTCCCGGCGAAGAACCATTAGTTAATTTCATGAATGAATTGCTCTATTTCATATGCTAAGTTGCCACTTCCCTGGCTGCTCTCTTCAGAAACCTGATGCTTGACCTATCACACCGTTATCTGCCTGTGTCAATTGGTGAATAATTAAGTGATTACCTTGTAAACTGACGTATTTATAAAAACATCCAACAAAGGAAGCTAAAAGGTGGGGTAGTGTGAGCTGGGGTACACGTAAGTATTCTTCTACAGACAGGAAATGTAATTGATACACAAATCTTTACAAACATATTATTTTCAAAACTGTTAAGACAATTCTCAACAACAATTTAGCTACTTGTTGTTTTAAGTCATTTACCCTAACCCTATGTTATTTCTTCATCTCTTGTAGCTAAAGAGATATGAGTGGATTAGAAAGGACTATAGAACATATAAAACCACCAACAATTAAATTCTAATGTGGTTTTGATTTATTTTCTCTCTCTCTTACTCTCTCTCCCCCACCTCTATTTCTCCCTTTCTCTCCATCTCTCTCTCTTACTCTCTCTCCCCCACCTCTATTTCTCCCTTTCTCTCCATCTCTCTCTCTTACTCTCTCTCCCCCACCTCTATTTCTCCCTTTCTCTCCATCTCTCTCTCTTACTCTCTCTCCCCCACCTCTCTATTTCTCCCTTTCTCTCCATCTCTCTCTCTTACTCTCTCTCCCCCACCTCTCTATTTCTCCCTTTCTCTCCATCTCTCTCTCTTACTCTCTCTCCCCCACCTCTATTTCTCCCTTTCTCTCCATCTCTCTCTCTAACGCTCTCTCCTCCCCCCATCTATCACGCTCTCTCTCTCCCCCTCTCTATACTGTCTCCTCTCCTCAGTCTCCAAGGTCAGGCCGTGGTTGTGGGGAGGTCGGGGGCCAGGGCCCCCGGGGTAGTGGCCCTGTCTTAGTCAACTCATCTGCTTCAAAGACTGGAACTGCCAGGCCCCAGGTCATGGTACGTACAGTATGATGAGCACTGCCACACACACACACACACACACACACACACGCATGGGCACACGCACACACAAACACACACAGACCCACACACACACCCTCTCAGGCTGTGTACTCTACCTGGGAAAATGGCCAAAGGGGTTTCTCCCTCTCATCGTAGCGTTGCATTGCAAACACATTTTCCGCCTCATTCCATACTGCCAGTAAGCACATTCAAAATAAGTTTTGCCATTCATTAAAAAAAAGTACTCTATTTCTTTTCACCCCTCTCTGCAGAACATGTTCCATTATAAGACATAACAGCGTATTTCTGGCATTCATGACGCAAGTGCCTCAGTCTAGTAGTCAAACAATGTTATGATTCAAGTGCCTCAGTCTAGTAGTCAAACAATGTTATGATTCAAGTGCCTCAGTCTAGTAGTCAAACAATGTTATGATTCAAGTGCCTCAGTCTAGTAGTCAAACAATGTTATGATTCAAGTGCCTCAGTCTAGTAGTCAGACAATGTTATGATTCAAGTGCCTTAGTCTAGTAGTCAAACAATGTTATGATTCAAGTGCCTCAATCTAGTAGTCAAACAATGTTATGATTCAAATGCCTCAGTCTAGTAGTCAGACAATGTTATGATTCAAATGCCTCAGTCTAGTAGTCAGACAATGTTATGATTCAAGTGCCTCAGTCTAGTAGTCAAACAATGTTATGATTCAAGTGCCTCAGTCTAGTAGTCAAACAATGTTATGATTCAAGTGCCTTAGTCTAGTAGTCAAACAATGTTATGATTCAAGTGCCTCAATCTAGTAGTCAAACAATGTTATGATTCAAATGCCTCAGTCTAGTAGTCAGACAATGTTATGATTCAAATGCCTCAGTCTACTAGTCAAACAATGTTATGATTCAAGTGCCTCAGTCTAGTAGTCAAACAATGTTATGATTCAAGTGCCTCAGTCTAGTAGTCAAACAATGTTATGATTCAAATTAGAGGGAAACTCTACTCTCCACAAAGTTCTCCTTTACCAGCAAATTGGTTTGAAAACGATGTATTATCTAACAATGTCACGCTCGCTGACAGATGCGGACCAAGGCGCAGCGTGATAAGCGTACATTCTTTATTTAGTACACACATGAACCAAAACAACAAACGAAACGATACGTGAAGTCCTAGGTTATACACAAAACCTAAACGGAACAAGATCCCACAAATAACTAGTGCAAAACAGGCTGCCTAAGTATGGTCCCCAATCAGAGACAACGAGCTACAGCTGTCTCTGATTGGGAACCACCCTGGCCAACATAGATCAACACGATCTAGAAACAAAAACATAGAAAACAAAACATAGAAAATCCACACCCTGGCTCAACATATAAGAGTCCCATGACAAACAAGGGATATGTATCGGCTGGGGTTAGCCGTTCCCTTATACCCTTTCCTTACTGTCTTTCATGCCTTCATCAGAAACTGCTGGAAGAATGAGCGCCTTTGGTTGAGTAGTCAAACAATGTTATGATTCAAGTGCCTCAGTCATCCTGAAGAATACATCAATGACTTCACAGTTTCATTCCAATCCCTGCTGAGAGTCCCTGAGCAAAGTCACATGTACTCACTGCTGACAGCACAAAAATACTTCGTATACAGTAAGCATTTAGCCTTACTACAATTTTTTTAATACAGTATGAATTTAGCCTTACTAAAATACTTGTAATACTTGTAGGCATTTAGCCTTACTCAACCACAACTCCCTCACCACAAAGGCAAAATGACCTTTTCTCAATATTAGATGTGTACTACAAAAGGCCAATCACCTCAGAGCTGTATTTCTCCACGCCTCTGTATTAGCTACAATAGCATGAACAAACTGTTTCTGAAGGGAGAGTTGCATGCCTTTAGAACAGTGTAGACTGTTTGTAAAAGGACTGGGCTGTGTATTTAGTTATTAGTTATGTGAGGATGTCATCCCCCCCATGGGCACCCCTGGGGCTAAACACTCTGCTGACTCCCCTCTGAGAACCCCCTGTCCCCCCTCTCCCCCGCTGTCCCCATGCTGTCCAATGCCAGCCCTCAGGGCAGGACTCATGAACACAAGCCAAACCCTGGTAGTCTGTACACACACACACACACCCAGCAGTCATGCCCCCTATCCCCATGCCCGTGCCAGCCTCAGAGAGCACAGCTAGCTACACCCAGCAGTCATGTAAAGCTGTATCTGACCCCCCGTGGTGCCGCCTCGTCTGGCCCACCTGTTCAGCCCCGCTGCACGCCACACCACTATAGAAGGGGAACGGGTGCAATTAGTCCTATGGTGAATACTGACCATGAAGCACTGCTGAATGAATCAGTCAGTGTGTACCATGGCCTGTGGTTTAGAGACTCATGTAAATAGTGTTGTTGTGTATACTATAATATAATAATATAATATAATATGCCATTTAGCAGACGCTTTTATCCAAAGCGACTTACAATCATGTGTGCATACATTTTTACGTATGCTTCCCCATACTACAGAGGTGTTGCATCACAGCGTGGTTTGTTGAACATTGTACATTGAGGACAAATGTTTCAAATACTTGCCCTTCATATTGTGTTTTGGGGAATATACAGTACGACGTAGTATTGTAATAGATCACTGGTAGTGTTTGTGTGAGCTGGTCATTACTAAAAAAAAGTGAAAATAGCTACAGAACAGATATTGTGTAATGGTAACTTCACTGACATTCGTACTGTATGGATGTTTGTCTTGTCTTACAGAGACTGTCTGGGAGTGTAGCCTCAGCCACCTCCAAGGCTCAGCTGTGAGAGAGGAGAGTCCATGTCTGTGTGAAGTGTCCATCCTGATGGCCTGTGGCCTGGGCTCTCTCCCCTGTTCCCCTGGTCCATGGATCTCCCCAGCCTGCTACTCAAGCTTCCTCTTCTTCCTTCTGGCTACTGTAATACTGACCTTTGACCCCTCAGTGACCCCCAGAGTGGGTGAACTCCGACCCCCACCGTCCTCTGCTCCTCCAGTCCGTCCCAGACTGTAACTGAGCTACCTCACTGCTCTGCCACCCACCATGCAAACCCTCACCAAACACAGACACATACTTATTCCGCCAGTTTGTATGGCATTTCTCACTATCTCACCGGTACTCTAGAACCAGCTGCAGATGTTATAAACCCAGGGCACAAGTTTTCCTTGTTTGCTGCATCAGAAGAAGGTAAGGTACAATTTGAAGAGGACACATTGAGTGGACGAGTACTTTGAGAGTTGCTGTTTGGTGATTAGTTCCATCCTGTCTGGACAGAACAGAACAGCACTGCTGAGAGTTCCAGAGAGTTCCAGCTCCATGGCAACTTGTGTTAAGAAAGAGAAAGCTAGAGAGAAAGAGAGTGATTGTTCTGGCACTCAACTGATGGAGGAAATGGAAGTTGGACCGATATCATAAAGAAAGCCAAATGCAAGTAGATCTATCTATGCAACACTGCCCAGGCTGGAAACAGCTGAACGGTGTTGTGTAGTAAAAGATTGATGACGACTGTTGACGTAAATTCAGCATCTATCTACCATTTCCTTTTTTTTATTCCTAAGACATAAAGGGAGGGTACGACTACGAGGGAAGGTTTTACACTTAAAACATGTGTGCCTTGCTATTGTTGTTTCTTATACCATTTGGTGAAAACACTGCTTCCCCAGTTAGGTGTTCAAAAGATGTAGAGAAGAGGAAAAGGGACAACAGCAAGGTTGAAACAGGCATCCATATAGATGTATACGTTCTCCAACCTTGACGTATCATGATGGTGTACATGCTTTGTGTTTAGTGTAAAACTGTACGTGTTCTGTGATGTGGAATATTATCAGCCTTAAAGTGCTAGACTGCATGGTTAACAATAAATATACAAACATGTTGGGAAATTAACTTAATTTATTGGAAACCATTTGATTACATGCATTTTCTGTATGTAATTCACCTGAAACAATGTACAAGCATTCTTCATTGTTGATCATTTATTTTCTCAACACTATAAATGAAAAATGAATAAGAGGAACATTAAATGGGAGATGTGTCTGTGTCTAGGAGGCCATGATTGGGGATTCGAGGAGTTAGTACTAGGAAAAACAGCTGATTGACAAGACTGATTGAGG